AAATGCAGGGTAGAGAAACAAACGCTCCCCTCAACAAGCTTGTAAACTAGCAGCAGGAATCAGACAAGACACAAATTTAAAAGATAATCTTCAATAAAAAGTTAATGGCTAAACATTTGTATATAATTTAAAACACCTTTTTAAAGATGATAAAATCTTTACTTTCTCAATGTAAAACTGTTCGGCAGGGAATGGAGGAGACTGGGAATGATACCCTTTAACATCTGGAAAGTTGTTCTTTATAACAATAGTAGACATTTAGCATTTTTTTGCAGACAAACTCCAAACCTTTTCCCAATACAACATGGCAAAATATCACTGAAAATTTAATTGACTCCTTCAAACCTTTATTCTGTAAATACAGGTCTAAAGCAATTTATAAAACCAATCAAATGAATCCTCACATTCTCATACTTCTTCACTTCATTAGCAATAGAGGTTGACTTTCTTTTCAGGATTCATTTTTCAACACATGGTTCATTTTACAGCTAAATGCCTTTCTTCTACATATCTGACTCACAAGGCACAGGATTCAGCCCAGGCCTCAACAAAATTAACAGAAACTAGTTTAGCTGAGAAGTACTCTGATGTTCATGAGCAGGTAAAAATGCATTTACAGAGGTCTATTTAAGTTACTTTATGCTTTCTATAAACAATCAATTTTATGACAAAGCAAAATTCATTTATCTGTCCAATTATGGTAAACTCCTAAATATGGCAGTTCCAATCTAAGTTATTACCGACTGTAGTCTTGGGCCAGACATAATCTGTTATAATGTCCAGAATGCCCAGCACAGTGCCTGGTAGTAAGCAAGCACTCAAATAGTTGATAAATGTTAACACAAAACATGCAGATAACGTGTATCTGATACTGGTCTCTATACAGTAAACCAGAGTAATTTGCTTTTGGTTGTTTTATTGCACTTAACATCTCCAATACACAGCATTGTCTGGCATAAGATAGATCCTCAATAAATGTTTGATGAATGAACATAAGATGCACTTACCTTTTTTGGGCATAAACTTAAATACATACTCTGACATGGAGCGGAGGTGACTGAAGAAGTAACACTGGTACCTAATACATAAGGCAAGAGCCTTATGTATACCTAATACATACTGCTGTTCGAAGAAAGGAACCATTAGCTGAAAAATAATTTAGTGGTAACTGCAGTTCAGGTGAAGTCACACTGGTGAGCTCAAGAAATTCTCAACTTTGTGAAAAGAATTGTGCTCAGCAATAACATCTGGGCAATTGAGAGTTCACAATGTTTGGTTTTAGGTAATTGTGAAAAACAAAAATAAGCTGTACTCTTGATAAAACAGTAATCACTAGAAAGAAATCCTATGTATATATTTTGACAATCTAAATATACTACTACAAACCTCTGAGTTATATTCCAGCTAATTCTTAACCTCATCTTAAGTGAAAGAAAAGAAAATTCTGGTTTACTTATACATACTGGAATTGAAATCTTACCAATACACTTGTGGAGTCTTTGTACTTTTTCAAAATTTTTGCTTCTTTAAAACTGAGTGTATAATTTCTTGCTTCTCGATTAAGAAGTTTCTGTATTTTGGGTGTCAGTTTGGGTTTGGGTTTGAGACGTACTCGAGACTTATCCTGAACCAGCAACTGGAAACAGTATGGACATGTTCCTTCAAAAGTGCTTTTATCATCTAAAATTATACAAATGAAACTCACGAGTCAGCAAACAGAATATTTTGTTACTGCAAACTATCAACATTATAAATGCAAAAGAGTATATTATTTAATACAAGGAAATATACATTTTCCTTAAGCATACTCAAAATGAGTATTTACAAAAACATAGATCAGCAATAATTTATTTTACAAACCACTATAATTCTATCCACTCACTCCTTTTAGCAACAGATAGGTAAGTCCCCACCCTTTGCTACATTGTTCATTACTTGCTACCAAGTAAAAAAGGCTGTATTTCACATCAATTTTACAAACACATTTATCACAAAATAACAAATTATACTGTGACTTTTCTTTTTAAAACAATTAGCACAATTTTGTTTTCGTGAGCTGGGCTTTGTCTGCAGTACAAGGTAATAGGACAACAGACTTGCCCCAGGACCTTTATGCAATCAAGAAAGCATTCACTGACCATCTACCATGCTAGGCTGTGGAGACATAAATATGGAAGTAAAGGAGTTGCTATCGTTATAGAACTCATGCTCTTGGGGAGCCCTAAACAAATAAAGATTGGTAAAAACTGCAACAGAATATGATTAAAATGCCCTGAAAATTATTAAACTCTGCATAGACTAGCCAGAAACACTTCCAACAGGCTTGAAAAAAGTCATCACAGGTGACTGTAAACTCTTATCTGTATTTGGAAATGGCATCTATTATTGGTAACGGGCTTTCAGGTACAAGTACAGTGAAAAAGCAAGCATGGTTATTTAGGGAAAGGTGAGGTGTGAAGGTGATGCTGCTGAAAAGGAAGGTGAGCACACTATCTGTTATTCAATAAATATTTATTGGTGAGCCCTGTGTTAAGTGCTAGGGATAGACAACACTACAAAAAGCCAAAGACCATGTTCATAACTTAGCTCTGCCAAATGTAAAATTCATTCATATTTACTGAGTGACAGTTAAGTGCCAAGCACTGTGCACTGTTCTGGGTGTGGGAACAGAGAACAAAGGACAATTCATGCAGAGAGACAATGAATACAACAATGCCAAATGTTAAGTGCTGGGGAGAAAAAAGAAATACAGGAAAAGGGGAATGGGGCGTAGCGATGGAGCTGCTATAATCTTAAATAGGGCAGCCAGTGAAGGCTTTGTGGGGTGACATTTGCAAGAGACCAGAAGGAAGTGAAGGAAGAATCCAAGGAGATATGTGAGGTAAGATTTCCAGGTAGAAGGAAGGGCAGGTGCAAAGACCGTGAAACAGCACAGGGGCCTGGCAGTGGCTGGAGTTCAGTGAACAAAAGGGAGAGCAGGTCAGAGAGGTAATGCAGACCTATGACATAGGGCCATGAAGTTCCTTTAAAAGATTTTCACTTTTACTCTGAGATGGGCAGTCATTTCAGAGTTGGTAGCAGAGAAGTGACATGATCTAGCTTAGGTTTCTATTAGGCTCACGTTGGCTGCTGGATTGAGAATGGACTGTAGAAATGCATGGGAGCTATTGCCAATAATCCAGGAGAGAAACTGATGGCTTGGAACACGGTGGTAAGTTGGATGTGGAGAGAAGTGGCTAGATATTGGATATATTTTAAAGCCAGTGGGATTTCTGGCGTACTGGCTTGGGGAGGAAGGCTGTTAGTGAGTCAAGAGTGGCTCCTAGGTTTTGGGGCTAATTCTTAAGGATGGGGTTACCATTTACTGAAATGGGAATAACTGGAGGAGGCGGGTTGTCGTGTTGGGGGATAAAGCTTGAATTTTTGCCTAGCATAATATTCAAAAAAAGTTGTCTACGTATCTGGATGAGTCTAGGATTCGCGCGAGTGGTCTGAACTGGGGATATAAATTTGTAAGTCCTCAGTATGCAGAATTTAAAGGCCATGAGAGTGGATGAAAAACTGTCACCAAGGAATTGAGCGTAGCTAGAAAAAACGTCCAAGGAATGAGTCCTGGGACACTCCAACATTTGTAAGTTGGGGAAATTAGAAGAAACCAGCAAAACAGAAGTACTGGCTAAAGAGGTAGGAGGTGAACTTTGTGATGGTCCGGAAGCCAAGTGAGGAAACTATTTCGAGTAGACTGATCAATGCGTCAAATGCCGCTAATAGGTCAGGCAAGATAAGGCACGTTAAGGAATTTGGATTTTTTACGAAACTGAGAAGCCTCTGGAGGGGGTTTATTATGGCCATGGGTCGACCCGATTCTTTTGGATCATCCTGAGCGTTGTGGGGAATGAAGGCGAGCGGGGCGACGACAGTGACCCACAACCAACGGGCGTCCTCCCTACCGTGTGACGAACTGTAGGCCCAGCTGCAAAAGAGAAAGAGACTCATAAGGGACGAAGAAACACCCCCTAGCGGCTAGCCTCCCGCTCCCCCTCCCTCCCTCTCTTACAGGAGATAGCGGGCCTGGCCCGGGCAGCTATCTTGTAGTTTCCGCGCCGCAGCCTCAAGGTAGTGCTTCTGCCTCATAGCCACCGCCACCTCTGCACCTCTGAGACCCGGTGACAAAAAGAGACTCCGGAAACCGGATTCCCAACGTGGCGGACTTTGACGTTGAGATAAGAGATCCCTCCGGAAACAGGTGCCCTAGGCTGAAGGGTTCCGGTGCCTTCGTGTCCGGTCCGGCGCGCAGGCGACCCTCCCCCCCGCCGTTGGCCCCGCCCCCGGGTCCCACCCCGTCCCCGCGGGCGAGGTGGCGATCACCTCAGACGATAGTCTGGGCGGAGCAGCTTGACTGGGCAGGGGTGGCAGCGTCAGGAGCCGAGGGTGCCGCCCGCCTCTCCGTCTTTGTCTGGTAGCCTCCTTTACCATACCCCTGTTGTCATTTCATCAGACCCCGTCGCCCTCTAAATTTGCAGGCTGGGGTACTGACTTGGGCCGCGGCGGGCGGAAGCGCGGTCCGCAGGGTGGCAGCTGGGAGAAGCTAGGCCTAGAGCTTCCTTCCTAACTTCCGTCAACTGAAATTCACATGACATAACGTTAACCAATTTTAGGTGAACAACTCAGCGATGTTTAGTACAATTGCAGTGCTGTGCAAACACCACCGTTACTAGTTTGGAAACATTTCTATCAGCCTACCGGTACCCCATTAGCAGTTACTCCCCATTCTTCCCTCCCTCCCAGCCCCTGGCAACCACTAGTCTGCTTTTTGTCTCTATGGATTTACCGATTCTGGACATATCATATAAATGGAATCATACATGGAATTTCTTGTGTGAGGCTTCTTCCATTTAGTATAATGTTTTTGAGGTTCATCCACTTTGCAGCCTATATCAGAACTTCATATCTTTTTATGGCTGAGTAATATTACGTTGTATGTATGTACCATGTATTGTTTATCCATTCATCCATTGATAGACATGTGAGTTGTTTCTACCTTTTGGCTATTGTGAATAATGCTGCTGTGAACTTGAACATGTATTTGCTACTGTATCTGTTTTCTATTCTTTTGGATTTATACCTAGCAGTGAAATTGCTGGGTTATACTGTAATTCCATTTTTAACAAGGATTCCAGTTTCTCCACATACTCACCAACACTCATTTTCTGTTTTTTTAATTCTAACCATCCTAGTAGTGTGGAGTAGCATCTCTTTGTGGTTTTGATTTGCATTTGTCTAATGGCTAATGATGTTAAGCATCTCTTCATGTGTGGTTGGCAATTTGTATATCTTTGAAGAAATGTCTGTTCCACTTCTTTACCCATGTTTAAATTGGATTATTTGCCTTTTGTTGTTGAGTTGTTAGAGTTTTTAAAAAATATATTCTGGATACTAGACCCTTATTTATCCTTCATTTTTAAGTTCAGGAAGGAGTCAAATGATGCAAAAGTTTGTAAAGAGAAACTATGCATTTACCCCTATGTAGACATATTTTAATTTTTCAGAAGAAAAGTTATTACGTCTGCTCTCCCCACCTTTCCATCCTGCTTCTGTGAGGTGATCAACATTAGCAGTTGGGTCTCTTCTCCTTCTATGACCTTACACATGTAAGCACTTGTATGAATGTATAAATATCCCCAACAGCCATCACCACACAAACAACAACAACAAAACACCAAGACATACACAAAAACCAAAAACCAAAAATAGAATGTTAGTCCTTGATGATATAACTTGCCTTTTTCCTTAACAACAGGCCACAAACATCTCTCCAGTATATACAGTTCTCACATGTACTTTTTAATAGCTGACAATATTACAAAATGTAATGAACCATAATTTATTTTCCTATTGATGAACATTCAATTTTTTTTCAGTTCTTTGCTAGTTCAACTAGTATATCAGCAAATATCTTGTATATGCTAATGCTTTTTATTTCTTTTGTCTGAATTCCTAAAAGAGAAATCACTGAGTGGAATGATATCCATATTTTAATTTGCTAGATCATTCCAAAAGGTTGTAGCAATTCACACTCCCAGCATCAATATCTGAGAGAACTGGGTCAAACTGGATGAGTGAAAAGGTGAAGGTCATTAGTTCACTTAAATACCAGTGAGATAAAGCCTTTATTCATTTATTTCTTGACAGTTTGCATTTTCTTTTGTGAAAAGAAATCTTCACTGGGTTGTTTATCAATTTCTAGGAATCTTTGTATTTTGGTGAAATTCATCCTCTGCTTGTCATTTATGATGCAATGTTTCCTCACTTAACTCTTATACTTGGCAAGGTTTATAGCATTTTTGCCACACAAGATTTTGTATGTCGTCAAAATCTGCACGATTGGGTCTGCATTTTCTGTATAGTGTTAAAGGGCCTCGTTTATGCTGAAGCGAGACAACTGACTATTCATCCAACTGTTTTTCTCATACTTTTCTAGTTTGGTTTCTTCCATATACATCTTTTTTTTAAATAAATTTATTTATTTTATTTATTTATTTTTGGCTGCACTGGGTCTTCGTTACTGTGTGTGGGCTTTCACTAGTTGCGGCGAGCAGGGGCTACTCTTCGTTGCAGTGCGCGATCTTCTCAGTGTGGTGGCTTCTCTTGTTGCCGAGCACGGGTTCTAGGTGCACGGACCTCAGTAGTTGTGGCACGTGGGCTCAGTAGTTGTGGCTCATGGCCTCTAGAGTGCAGGCTCAGTAGTCTTGGGGCTTAGTTGCTCCATGACATGTGGTATCCTCCTGGACCAGGGCTTGAACCCGTGTACCCTGCATTGGCAGATGGATTCTCAACCACTATGCCACCAGGGAAGTCTCTCTTCCATGTACATCTTTAAACCATATGAAATGTATTTTCACTTAAGTATGAGGTAGAACATATAACTGGAATTTTTTCCAGATGGACAGCAAGTTATGCAAAGATCCCTTACTAGCTAAACTAGTCTTTTTCTACTGGAATTGAAGTTTAAAAAAATATGCACTGAACACTGCATATGTGCCAGGCACTTTTTAAAGCGTCTTACTTGTATTAATTCACGTCATCCTCACAACCCCGTGGCATAGGTGAAATGTCAGTTTATCTATATAAGTTTTTTAAAAAATAAAGTTGCATCTGCTTCTAGATTTTTTTTCTGTTTCACTAGCCAGTAAAGCAGAAGAGGAGAAATGCACTGTATACGCATGTGTACATCCTCCCCTGGCCCCCAGCACACTTTCCTTCAGCTGTTTCCTTCTATCTGCTCTGAACACCACACTCCTATATCCAGATGCCTCGTCAGCACCACTACTTGCATCACAACTTGTTTTCTCAGACGCCGTGGGGCCCAGATAGCACCCTTGGCCTCTCCCACCAAAGAGCCATTGCTGCTGCTGCTTCCCACCCCTTGTAGCCACTCCACCCACAAGCTCTGCAGGCTCCCAATCAGAGGCAAATCACGACTCTGCCCATGACCATAATATAATGAACCTTCATATATACATCACACAGCAACTCTCAGCATCCTGGCATTCTTGTTTTGTCTCTAACTCTCCCTACTCCCCTTCAATTATAATAAGTGTAAACATTTTTAAGGAAAAATGTACCTATGTTGAAATGTACAAATCTTAAATGTACAATTTAAAAAGTGAGTATACTCCTATCAAGATATAGAACATTTCCAACCCCCTGGAAGAGGAACTACACTCTGTGAAGATTTTCCTCATCCGTAAGTCCCTGTAGTGATCTTTCCCAGTCACCTGCCCCTCAAAGAGGCACCACTTTTCTTCTCCTCCCCCCCTCCTCCTCCCCCTCCTCCCCTCCTCCCCCTCCTTCTC